CTGCTTGTCCTGGCAAATTAATTCCAAGTAGCGATGCCGCAGAATAAACCCATCTTAAACAGACAAGCACGAGATGTATTTTGTGCTTACCTTGCTCACCATCTAATACCTGATGGGTTCAAAATCTACCCATAGCCTTGCTTTAAACAGCTGGTCGAACATCCGAACTGTCAGATTTAAAGTAAAACCTTAATACTAAATAAAGATGTTCCTGCTTTCAACATAGGCGATTTCTACTGACGCTGAATATTCACTTATGGAGGATGGCTATAATTTGGCAAGCATTCAAGGCACGTGTTTATACTCTTGCCAAATCCTGGATTTGATGCCTTTCTCCTCCTCTAACCCGCGATGTACTCAGAGGGGTGTCAGGCACTTGGGCTTCCATATGACATGTGCTATTAGATACGACTCAATTCTGCACTGACTCCTACTAATTCTTCCACTATTAGGCTGTTCATAACAAAAGAGACGAATGAGAAATATGTGATCACTTTAATGGAATTCCACGCTTGCAGCAGGAGCGCCCAAAATAATATTTCAGGAGCGGCAAAGGAAGTCTAAAGAATTTTTAAAGAAGATTTTAAAACACTGTATCTGTGGAGGTAGCAGATAGTGATGCAGAAATATTGGGGTTATTAGTGCCAGATTAGCATATATAATTAACAAGTGATAAAAGGCTTCAGAAGCTAACAATCAAATCACTGATTTGACACTGAAGATCAAGAGTAAAATTATATGCAACGCGCAGAGCTTCTCAAGCTTCTGTGGAGCAGCTTATATTGTCAAGAAATAGGAGAAAGATAGAATAATCTGTTTTACGTAGCACACAGGGGGTGTGTGGCAGGCTGCAGCTACCAATGTGTATAGAAAGAACAGCCCAAGCTCTTGGGGAACACCAAGCAAGAACCAGCTTGGGTCTGGAAGCAGCACTATCCCTTATCTCCTTTATCTACCAGGAATTTACTGTACCACAATTCAAAGACCTCCCACGTGTAGAAAAACCTGCAAATTCACAGGTGGAAATCAGGAATATGCATGTTATCTTTAACTGGATAGCTTGAAATTTTCCATCCGTGAGCCACCTCTAGAACACACACTGTGTATTACGTTATGCTCTGTGAATTTTTAGTAACTTTTGTTGAGATTTACCAGTTCAGATTTAAGAAGTGTAACACAGGTGGCAGCCAATTGTAAAAGAGAACGTGACCCGCCACAGCACTACAAGCCATCAGAGATGCACTTTCAGTCGGATGCTGTTCCACATCACTGTTCAGGCCACCACCTGGACATCACCTCTTCAATGGGATAAAAAAGACAGGATTAAACAGTTTTTACATGATGCTCCTTCTGCTATGTGAAGAGGGTCCTGCAACATATATACACAACGAGTTCTTTCAAAACTACACTTGCTACCTAAATATTGTTAGAAAGTGTGCATTTAATTCAAAGTGAAAACAAATTGGAGAAAATTGCAGAAAAAGAAGTATATTGGAAGTGCAGTGCAAATGTGTGTTCCACTGTGAGGCCTCCTCAAGAGGAAGAAAAAAGAGGAACCAACAACAAACACAATGGATTTTCATTTATCTACATAGCCTCAAACGTGCACCTGAAACATAGAGCACAGAATCCTCAGCAGCTTCATTCTTTGCCATGTACAATACTGATACTGTAATGGAGATATCACCAAATATGAAAAGTTAGGACCAAGTCACTGTCCCTATAGCCTCTATAGAAGTGGTAAAATTGGTTTAGATGAGATCCCATTTGGGGGAATTGAAATAACTGTTGTGTTTTCATGCATATGCACAAATTCTCAGCTTCATTAACTTTCTCTTTTTCTGTTTAAAAAACGCTTGGATACCAGATGGACGTTATGTTTTTTTACCCCTTAGCATTTGCTTTTACGATTTATCAGTCCTAAAAGCATCAGCCATCCAATCTTACAGACAAAATAACACAAAGTTGATGAGTTACCTAAGTAACCCGCAGCTTGAAAAGCATTAAGCCAAACTACCTGCAAATTCTTACAACCAGGGAGCACGAGCTGTTTTGTGGTGAACATCAAATAAGCCACACTAACGATGAAAAGCTTGACCCACCTTGCTGCAGGAAGACTTCCCTGTAGTGAGGTCCCACACTTTTATTTGGCAACCATAACGAGCTTTCATGTTATCTTATGGAATAGGTAGCCTTACATACCAATTACCTGTAGATTACAATCTTGATAGCAGAAAATGCCTATTTGTAGTTAAATTCTATTTACCACCCACCTTGTTTTTTTCAGCACCTTAAGGGGAACAAAATTCCCTATTCCAACCATTTTTCCTTTCTTTCACGACTGTGATTTATTTAGTTTATCTTAATGCCTAAGAATTCCGTTTCTATACTTCATGGTGGCAAATATGGAACAACACATTATTTATTCAACTGTTTAACAGCAGCAACACTCAAAGTGGAAACAAATAACTTTTGTTCTTTCTCCTCTTACTAGAAGCCATGCAGTCAATTGAATTTTATGTTGAGATACAAACTTTGCAAAGAATACAGCCGGTACTGTTCTAGATGGCTGGATTTTGGCTACATAATAAGTCAACTGTATTCCAGCCAGGGGCCCCAGGTTTCCCTATTGCTTCCTAAACTCTTCTTCCCTTCTTTGAGATAACTCATTAATGTAATGTTCTAGAGCATATGCACATTCTAATAGGCTATTTTTCCTATCCTAGGGCTCTTTGAAAAAAAAAAGTCATCTTACTGGGTAGGGTATGTTTGGAAGAACCATGTAACGAAGCCGCTTGTTAGTCCGTAGAAGTTTTGTGCGACTCGCTAAGTTCTTGCACCAGATTTACTTCATTTATTGTTCCTAGTTCATGATGTGGTTTTGGCACCAGATAGTAGAAAAGCTAGCTCCAAAAATCAAAGTTACATACAGTAAACTAACTTGCTGAAGGCAATGCAGGATGAACTAACCTTTTGTACCAAAGGAGACAAACAAAAATTTAACTCAAAGCGTAAACAAAATAGTAGCCAGCGGTGCAGGGGGGAGGAAAGTTTAAAGAAGAAACACATGGAAATGACGCAGATTTGTAGAATCAGCAACTCCTTCCTTGGCATTTTCAAGATAAAGGTCCAAGAACAAAATCTGCTTCAGGAAAACTACTAATTGCTAGCAAAAGAAAGCTGGAGACACTTTTGTTACTTATTGGAGAAGCGTAAGTGGGAATGAGACCTGGCATCAAGAAATTTTGTGTTGCAATCCAGTCTGTCACCGAACAGACCTTGCCATGGGCAAGTCTACTTTCCCCCTCTATTTGTTTTCTGATCAGTAAAACAGGAACAGAGACACCTCATCCCAACTATTTTGGGAAAGTTCCCACAGATGAAAATTTACTTACTGTTAGAGACACGTTCTCAAAGGTTTTGTCAACTACAATATGTTCTTGCACAGCAAAATTTTGACATAAACCAGTAAGAAAGTCCACCTAATAGACTCTGTTTATTAGCTCAGCAAATAATGTCACCACCACGTGCATACATACCCCTTTTCTCTGATAGAGAAGAAACCATATTGCAGACTGGCAGGAAAGCACTAAAACTAGATTTTTCACAAAACCTCACTTGATGCAAGAAACCCAGCAGCAGAACTGTCTTCTGCGCACCCATACACTTTCCCTGATGTTCCTAAAAACTTATCTGGGGAATAAGTTTAGATTTTGCCCAAAGAAAGTACAATTTGCTGCCCTGACTGTTACTTATCTTATGATATCTGCTAGGTAGCCACATGATATGCTTGGTCAGTTTGTGTATGAAGACATTTACAGACAATATATCTCCCCGTTAACGACCATGTGCCGCAACTTTTGAATGCCTGCGATCCTCAGAGGGGCAAAGGAATCTAACACAATCTCCCTTTGGACAGCACAAACAAGCAGACTTCTCTTCATAACCTCAAAATGAAGAAAAAAATAATAATAAAATAATAATGAAACAATCTCCTGACTGTAACTTTGTATTGCAAATAAATGCTTTACAAAGTCTTTGGAAAAAAATTGTATCCTCTCACAATTTACATCGTTACAGTGGCACAAGAACTATTAGTGGGGTGAAACACGGAGTGACTATGAAGTGAGACAGGCAGAGAATGGTCCTGTATTTAAAGAATAAGGAATTTGGATGAGGTTACTTTGCTGTCACTGGAAGAGCGAACAATGGGGCTTCACTAGCAAAACCGCAGACTTCAAAATACCAGAGAAACGATAAAACCTGCATTAAGGGAGAGAGAGAGACCATGTGCCACGGCAGACAGAAGTGGCCCTAAATTCATCACCGCATGACTGAACTTCTCTGCAAGGCAATGCCTCCTGAGATATGATGTTTGCTAGCAAAAAACCCTCACCCAGATGGGTTCCCAGCACAGCATGGGTGCACACCCAGAGGAGAAGGGTGCACGTCCAGAGGAGAAAGGTCTCATCTCAGATCTGGTGCTGAAAAGAGCCTGGCGCTGCTGCAGCACAGGCCACCTTCAGCACCAGTTGCTCATGACAGGCGATTTCCCAGCCGCGTGTTCCTTACCCCGTTACCCTCCCCTCTGGCTGCACACAAACCCCCATTCCCCAGCCGCCGCAGCCCCCCCAGCACCACGGGGGGGATTTTTTCCCCTACCCCAACCCTCTCCTGCCGTGGGGCACAAGAAGCCCCATCCCAGTGTGTGGGTAAAAGACACGCTGCGTTTCATGCACGCTGCTCTGCCAGAAATCAGCGAGCTCGTAACCGGCAGCTTGGCAATTTTTTGCTTGATTTTTTTAGGGATGGGGCCATCTTTCCCACTCACGCTATTCAAACAGGCCCCCCAAACCCCCCCCAGCCAGTTCAGCACAGGATGGTGTGCCTTCCACAAAGCGAGGGGTGGCTGGCTGCTGGCTGGGCTGACTTTTCAGGGAAGGCGATGGTGAGCCTTCCAGCCACGTGGGCACCTGGAAGATGGTCTGCGGGATACTTACGGACACAGAGACAGGCCACCAGCTTGGCAGCATCATCAGGCACCGGGCAGGTGGGGAAGATGGGCTTGAGCAGGTAGGTGGCGAAGACCAGAGCCACGATGTACTGCGAGGAAGGCCGGATGATGAGCAGCTCTATCCAGAGCTTGAGGAAGGCGGGCAGGGAACCGTAGACCTCCAGCATGTAGGCGTAGTCCCCGCCGGACTTGGTGATGGTGGTGCCCAGCTCAGCGTAGCAGAGGGCACCCACGATGGAGAAGGCCCCGCAGACGGCCCACACCACCAACGACAACCCCGGCGAGCCGGCCTCCCTCAGCACGCCGGTGGGGGTGACGAAGATGCCGGAACCGATGATGGTGCCCACGATGATGGCCACGCCGTTGAGCAGCGTGATGTTGCGCTGCAGGGTCACCCCCTCGCCCTCGGCGGAGGCGCAAGGGGAAGGCGAGCGGGCACAGCCGTTCTCCTGCGCCCCGCCGCCCGCCGCCGCCGCCTCCAGCATCTTCTCCATCGCTTGCTTCTCCTCCTCCTGCGCCAGCGAGGAGGCCGAGCCCGCCGGGCTCCTCTTCTTCACCGCCGTAGCGCCGCTGCTGCTGCCGCCGTTGCCCGACATGGTGGTAACGGTGGCGGTGGTGGCGGCGGAGGGGAGCGGAGCGGGGCGCGGAGCGGAGCGAGGCGGGCGCGGCCGGGCGCTCCGCCGCCACCTTGCAGCCGCCCCTTTTGTTCCGGCGGCGGTGGGCGGCGTACGGCGAGCGCCTCCCGTTTTAGGCGTGGAGCAAGGGCCCGGCCGCCTTTCCGGGAGGAGGAGGAGGAGGAAGGCTCTGTGTGTGTGTGTGTTGCAATGCCCCTGGTTTGCGCCAGCAAGAGGAGCTTTTAAGGG